GGTGAACAAAAAAAAAAAAAAAAAAAAAAAAAAAAAAAAAAAAAAGAATTTGGGGAAGGTTTATATTGATTTTGACTATTGCGTGATTGCCCCTGTGAATTAATGATACTCTTAATGCTCCTTCAAGGTTGTGTGTTTTTCGAAGGTGGTGTTTCCATTTGAGAGTAATCCTGTTCTTGAAAAAAATGTATTCTACCAGATAGTTGGGTTTTTCTGTCCCTTTCTTTCCCCAATCCCTGTTTTAATTTAAGTTCCCTTTAAAAACTGTCTGTATGGTCTTTTTTTATCTTATGTCTTCCAGAACAGTTTAATTGGGATGATTATCTGAAAGAGACTGAATCAGTAGCTGCCCCTCTACATTGTTTCAGACAGGTATGACAGATATTATTTTGCAAGTGTGTGTGTATGTATGCACGTTACAGGGTGATCCTAGAGCAACTTTTCTGTTTAGACTGCTTGCAAACTTCCCATTTGTCTTCTTTTGATCTCTAGTTATCAGTAGCTTACAGTTTTGGAAGATGCAAGTTACTAAAGTTTTTCATTCTTGGTTTCTGCCTCAAGCCAAACTTTGAGGGTTTCATTAAATTGTAGCTTTGGACTCTCTTTTCCTTTAAAAAAACCCCAAAAAACAACCTAGTTAATGAAAACAGATAGTCTTATCAGAGTTCAAAAATATTTTCTACTTTTTTCAGTAATCGTAGAGGTACTGTGGTTTTAGTGAGAATTAAAATTTGGCTGATCATCAAAAGGAGCCTTTCTCCTGCTCCATTTCTGAAAGAGTCCTTTCAATTCTGGCTAGCTACAAGATGTGTGTGTATAGTAGCATTTATTCACCGCTTCTTTTCTGGATCTCTCAAATATGTTTCATATTGTCTCTTTCTGAGCAGAGTGCTTTTTTACTAAGGAGTAACAGATACTGAAGTTAAAAAGATAAAGGGAATATATGAGAATAAAAAGGAAGTACTGGATTTATAATGAAGCGTGTCTAATGTACTGTTTTATATTCTACATTGTGCCCTACAAGTTTGTTTTCCCCCTCACCTGATGGTTTGGTACGTATATGCAGATGCAGTTTGAATCTACCACATTGTGTGAGCTAATGACCTCCAGTTATTCAGCCCTCTGGAGACTGAGCCGACCTCTGCAGGCATCTATCTTTCTGCAGAGGGAGCTGGGGTCAGTATTTTCTCAAGTTGAGGAGTATCTTAGCTGCATAAAGTTAAACAGGATGAGTTTTGATCTGTATACCTTCACTGTATTAGATTAGATGCTGAAGGAATTGGATGGTTCAGATTGATAGAACTGTAATAGGTGTGACAAGCAGTGCATGTCCAGTTTAGTGGATTGGTCATGTTCAGAAAGGTATCTTCTAGGGTTTGTTGGTAGTCAGATGGTACTGTAGACGATACTGGCCTCCAGTGGGGACCAAACAAAAAGCAACAGGAACGGAATAGTCTCAGGAGGAGAGGAACTGCCATTCAGTGAATCTGAAGTAGTTGCAGGAATGAATAGGGAGAGAGAAACGCAGGTGGTAGCGTTTCCTTGTGCTAGATCTTGAATCATAGCTTGCGTTTCGTAGATGAGGATAAAGGACAGAGAGCCCCTCACAATCTGCTTTCAATGAGAGATGGCTAAAAATAGCAGTGCCCATAGGTCTGCTTGAGTGGAGCTTCAGAAATTAATTCTACACTATGTGTTTGTCATAGTGGATACCAGCTCAAGGCAGAGACCCCAAACTCTGCTTGGGTAGAGACAGAGGACAGTAGCGTATCCGTGGATCATTCAGAGGTTAACACCATACTCACAGGCTGTAGACCATCATAACCAGGGTGTACACTCCTGAGAGATGTAGCTACTGCACAAAGCTGCTCAGAAGCTTTTCCATGTTGCCCGTCTTGCATCTTCCTTTTCCCTACTAATGCTCGAGGGGTCCGACAACTGAGTAACACCTTAAATAAAGATGCTTAAGTGACATGCATTGGCTGAGATAAATCCGAGCGACCTGGATTGCTTAAGGAGTTTGCGGGTTGGAAAGATGAGCTTTAAGTTCTGTGCATAGCAAATTTCAAAACAATTTACATACGCAGACTTTCAGTTTTTCTAAGAGTTGACCTTTAAGTAGAAAGTGATATGCAATGTTAATTAGTGCAGAGCTAGCTCTTCTCACTACATAATGTTTGCAGATTCTAGAAACTAAAGCGCTTGAGCTTTGTGTAGGACTAATTTGACTTTTATTGGGTTACACATGAATTGCACGTGTCGTTATCACTCTGTAATGCAAAGAAATACACTGCTGTGGCCAGCCAGAAAACAAATAGCAGAGAGAAGCTTAATTTGACAATTATATCCAGAATTTGTGACCTGTGGGAATTCTACAAAGTTTAAATTTTGTAGTAATTAAAAATGACCTGGGGAGCAATAAATTAAAGCCTCTACCATAAATTAAGATACAGGCATAGACAGCTAATGGAAATTGATTAAAATATTCATCTTAATTTAGAAGGTATTTTATCTGTTGCTCTAAATTGTTTTTAATTACTACTTAAAATTTCAATGCATTCCACATCCCTTTTCTCTCACCCTGAACCTTTTTTTTTCAAGCAGTTGAAAATTTTAAAAAAAAAGCTCAGTCCCTTGTGGTTTGAACAGAGCTTAAAACAAGGCTGTTACTGAGCAGGTTTTGTTATTTTGCTGTAAGAATGGACTGGCATGGAGGAGTTACCTTTTTAGTAGAATGCCTTGTGTTGTTGGTATTTAAACAAGCTCACCTTTTCTACAAACGAATAAACAAACTCCCCAATTTCTCAATTTCAGTTGCCTTTCATGGTTGTAGAAAATAGCAGCTTGACAAGCAATATCCTGAAATTGAATTGCCCTTTAAATTTAATATGCTCCGGCTCCCCTTTCAGACAGCCTGCTGTCTAAATGCAGCATTGGCAGATGCTACACTCAGCGTTCACTGAATATTGCTCGCCTCTTTGTTTTTTGGGCTCGGACTCCTCCAGGGCTCCTGCTGTTGATCATGGGTGTGTTGTAAATAGCGCACCTGCACACCACAGCAAGTAGAGCAAGAAGTATTTTTAAAAATTGGAAGTGGTGGAGACAAAATATCGCTAACATTTGTTGCAGTAGCAGATTTCTTCAGCCTTTTCCTGTGTACCCAGACAGATAAGTGCACCCTTAGGTATCTCTTAGGGATCCCCACCTGACCTGGTCAGGCAGGCAGGAGAAGGGACATACGAATCTTGTGAGCCTGAATGCCCATGGTTTTGTTTTTTCTACCCTCCTCCCGTATTAGGATTCAGATTATGTTAGTCTGTATGGGATAACTACTGGGTTTAAATGGTCATGGGGAAGGCTGCCTACGGTTCTTGGCATCTTGTGTTCAAGAGTTGCAGAAAAGGGCTTCCAGGGTGATAGAATAGTCATCCTCTCCTGAGAGAAACTTCAGTGCTTGGCTTATTTAACTGGTTCAAAGAGCAATGAGAAAGGGTCAGGTTGCCCTCTGTAAATACTGTAGATTTTGTTGCTATTTGCAAAGGTGCAAAAAGAATTTAAGTTAAATTATAGTGTTGGCAAAAATTTCTGCTAATAAATTTAGGCTGGAAATGAGGAGACATCTAAAGAGAATAGTGAGAGGCACTCAGTCCCAGTTAGCGTTAAAACAAAGTTTTGAACATCATTTCATGATCTTATTGCCTGCAGTACTACAGTGGGCAAGTAATCAGACTGCGATCCAGTCAATCTCTGCTAGTAGTGTGTTGATACATGAGTAAAATATATTCTCCTCTTCTTTTGATCATTTTTAGCTTGTGACAAAAAGTTCTGCTCAAAGACCAAGTTGCATTCATCCCATTTCTTTTCCCTGTGCTAATTAAATTGGCATTTCATTGTATGCATATGAATATACTCAGTTCTCTACGAATAAACACAAGCTGCAATTTTTGTCTTAGCACAGAAGTTTTATGTGACTTTAGGACCGTCTGTTTCCTTTCTGTGAAATGCAGTTAACACTTAACTCCTTTTTCTGTATTCTTTCTTTGTATTGTAAGCTGTTTTTTCATGCAGAAATTCTTTCTTGCCTTGAGTTTTGTAGTGCCTAGTGCAGTAGGGTCCAAATTTTGTTTAAATTTCCAATATATTACTATAATGAAAATAACTATTTCCTTTGAATTGAAATCTAATAAATCTTGTGGGTGGGTGGTTTTTTTGTGGGTTGGTTTGGGTTTTTTTTCCGAGTTGAATGTCATTTTTCCTATGTCCTTGTTTTCCATTCACTTCAGTATTAATCACTGTTCCCCCATCTTCACGTTCATATCTTTGTCAGGATTCCCTTGTTACCCTTCTTAGTGTGCTTATCTTTTTAGAAATCAGTCATGTTTGTGCAGTAGGAACATTAAGTATCTGAAATGGTAGCTTTGGCTAGGTTATCCAGCTGCCTTTTCTGCCTTGCTGCTAAACACTCAAAATTCAAATGCTTCTTTATATTTACCATTTATATGAGATGTTTGGATGAATGAAAGCTGTATATTGAACTGGCTGGTAAATTTAGCAATACTAACAACAATACGAAAAAGTCTTTCACCTTTTATTGTAGTCTAGAATTCCACCTACGAACGATTTCAAAGTTGGTATGAAACTGGAAGCCCATGATCCTCGCAATGTTACCTCGGTTTGTATAGCTACAGTAATTGGGATCACTGGTGCCAGACTAAGGTTGCGGCTGGATGGAAGTGACAACAAAAATGATTTCTGGAGGCTTGTGGATTCCTCGGACATACAGCCCATTGGGACCTGTGAAAAGAAAGGGGGCATGCTCCAGCCTCCACTTGGTAAGAAACAAAGCTTCTGAATTAATGCCTGTGGAGTATTGCTTTCGTGGAGTCGGTATTTCACCTTTTTGTCTTGACGAGTTCAATGGTACTAACATTTCACCAAACTATTATTTAATTGAAAAAGAGGTAAGCAAACTAATTCAGGCTAAGTGAATTGTGGCTTTTTGTTCTTTTTGGATTCTTTTGACATAAGAATGAGCACAATAGTAGTTTTGAGTACTGGGGGTTTTTTTGTTTGTTGTTTTTTTTGTTTTTTTTTTAAATAGCCCCTTAATAATTGGGAGTGTCTGACAGCTTTCTTAATGATGAGGTATGCTGTCGTGTGCCCATTCTATAAATGTTGCCTCATACACACCCTGTCTTATGAGTGTGTACAGCTACAACATTTTCTTGCTTGATGCTGTGCATGCTCCTTCTAGTAGACCTTCATCAGAACTGGGGAAGGCTGCCTTGCCTTTTTTCTCCTCAGTAAATCGGCGCAGCCCCCTAGAAGGCGCTCGCTGTTCGCTGGCCAGTGAAATGCTCAGCAGGGCTGCAGGAGGTGCATCAGTTCAGGACAGTCTGAATGTTTTCTCAGCCACTGAGCAAATTGGTTGTGGTCTGGGAAAGGCAGCACAGGGTGGGTTAACGGTGGTATTGCAGCATTATGCTCTGAGGTAGGAAAAATGGCACTCCAGAGCTTTGGCAAACCGCAAGCTTATATTGCATGCAATTCTCATCTCCTCAAATTGACATGTGTTGGGGGACATCTGATCAGTTTGTCATGACTGGTTTGTCAGCACGATGGATGCTCGTGAATAAGGTGTAGCTTTCCTATGCAAAATTTCTTTTGCCTTCCGTGAGCAATATGGGTGACAACATTATGTGTCTTCCTAAACTGAGAAATAGTGCTTGGGCTTAGTCTTACTGAGGAAGTTTATTAAATGGGGAACTGTACAAAGGAGTTCCTTGCTATATGATGAGTAGTCAGAGGTAACTTTGACTAACTACTAGGGGTAATAAAGCGTGAGATCATCTTTCTTTGCTGTGATTAACCTGTATATTTAGCTCTGCATTCTTGTACTGTATTTGCTATAGCTTAAACTTGTAGGTGTGGAAATCTTTAAAGAAACACATTTTTCACACGGTTCTGAAAACAGTTCTGCTTTTAGAATGGAGGAAAAATAATGACCAAAATTTATCTTAAACACCACCCCCCCTCCCCAAATTCTCCACAACAGCAACACCCCCTCCCCTGTTATCCTCTTATCTCCTGTAATTTTTAGGAGATGCAAGAAACAACATTCTTATATTAAGAAATGAACTGTAAGAAGAAATGGGTTACTACTGGTTTCCCATTTTATGGTTACGAACCTACTTCTGATTTGGTGTCATCAGTAACTTTTACATATTTCTCAGAGATTTAGTGAAGATAGGTATCCTTTCTCTTAGTAGCCTCTCAGAAAACTTGTCATCCCAATTTGTTAACAACTTTCAATTCTTCTGCTTGAAAGGTGAAGTGAAAAGTATAATTTCACTACAGTACGAAACTTGATTTGCTTGTAGAGAGGCAAACAGGCACAGGAGCAGTTGACGTAACCATTAAGACACTTCACATAGATTATAAGCATAGATTTTTGTGCTGTTATGCTGCTTTAGAAACACAAGCAAACCAATACAACCAGGGTGCCAGTCTAGAAAAATACTATTTGGGATAGATAGTTACAGTTTGAGCCCAAAAGGGCTTTTTTCTTTTTTTTTTTTTTTTTTTTTTCCTGTGGATATATAGAAATTTTGAATGAAAGCACTGGAAATTCTTGACACCTGGGGGAAAATATTCTTTTTTTTGTTGTTTTTGGAGAAGTTACATGGTTTAACCCCTCTGAAGTTCTTGGTATAGCCTTGTAGAATGAATGCAGTAATACCAGTATGAAAGAGGGTTGTAACAGAGAAGAATCATAGAATCATAGAATGTTTTGGGTTGGAAGGGACCCCTAGAGGCCATCTAGCCCAACCCCCCTGCAGTGAGCAGGGACACCGCTAACTGGATCGGGTTGCTCAGAGCCCCGTCCAACCTGGCCTTGAATGCTTCCAGGGATGAGGCCTCCACCACCTCTCTGGGCAACACCTTCCAGTGTTTCACCACCCTCATTGTAAAGAATTTCTTCCTTATATCTAGTCTAAACCTACCCTGGTTTAGTTTAAAACCATTACCCCTTGTCCTGTCACAGCTGGCCCTACTAAAAAGATTTTCCCCATCTTTCCTATAGGCCCCCTTTAGGTACTGAAAGGCCTCTATCAGGTCTCCCCGCAGCCTTCTTTTCTCCAGGCTGAACAAGCCCAACTCTCTCAGCCTGTCCTCATAGGAGAATACCTATTCCTTCAGCTGCACCTATGTACAGCATTAAATGTATGGCTTCAGTTCGGGAGCATAGTGCTTTTAAAAATGTGTTTCTAAACCAGTCTGATGAATAAACCAACTGTGCTTATGTATAGTGGGGGCAGTCCACCCGTTAAGCAGGGAAACTTTCCATGATTGTCAGTAGAAAGGTTGATGCCTTCTCTTCAGATACTGTTTCTTACTCCTATTCGGTCAGGCTGCTTGTAGTGCAGCACCTAACAA